GGACCCTCAGGACACATCCAGCACCATCTGGAAGGCACTCAGCACCCTCAGGGCGGATCCAGCACCTTCTTGAACAGCCTCAGGACCCTCAGGACGTATCCAGCGCCTTCTGGAAGGCGCTCAGCACCCTCGGGACGCATCCTACATGCTCTGGAAGGCGCTCGGCACCCTCGGGACGGATCCAGCACCTTCTGGAAGGCGCTCGGCACCCTCGGGACGGATCCAGCACCTTCTGGAAGGCGCTCATCTGGGCATGACTGCCCAGGAGCTGGGCACCTTGCAGAGAGGGGAGGAAAGGCCCTGCCGGTGGTTCCATCCCCTGCCCAGCCCTTCGCCTGCCCTGGAAACGCTGGGGTGCAAGGCTTCCCCTCACCTAATACTCTGTCTGCCCTTGGAGTGCCAAATACCTCTGACAAACTGCCATTGGGAGCCTGATGGGTTGAGTTTTCTTCCCCCTGGAAACGGGCCGCCCTTCAGGTCCGAGGGCCTGTAGCCAGGAGCAGGTTTCTGCCTCTTCTGGAGCCCCTTTAGGCACTCGAAGGGACTCTGAGGTCTCCCTGGAACTTTCTCTTCTCTAAATGAACACCCCCAGCTCTCCCAGCTTGACTCCAGAGCAGAGGGGCTCCAGCCCTGGAGCATATCCATGTGTCTTGGAGACCTTTGTTGACTAGCAGTGACACGGTTTTGGTCACATCTCCGATGTGCATGAGATGTCCGGAATTATCACAGTACGCTCCCTTGGCACAATCTGTTTTGCTCCTGGAATGCAACAGGAAGAAAATTCTTTGTGTGATGTTCTGCGAGTTTCTCGCTCTCTGGTGTGATGAGTTATCCCTGCTGTTGACTTACCAGGGTTCCGTACTTCCGTCCTTCCCAAATGCAATCTGTTCGACGGCTGGATTGCTGGAGTGACACCCTGCATTATTCCTGCTGCGAGTCTCTGTTGTTCTCTGTGCCTTTGTGTGCTCGCTCACCCACATCCGCTGACTTCATTCAAAGACGTCACAAGAGCTCTGCTGAAGGCCCTGTAGGTCTGAGTCAACAAGAGATCAAAGATAAGGAGCAGCTTTAGAGCACAAAAGGCCAAATTATATAAGGCAAGGGGAATTTAGCAAAATGATTAGGCACTGGGTTCAGAATAATCTTAAATATTTCTTTTTCGACAACAAATACACACCACGCTTGGTACAAGCTTCCAAAATAATAATAAAAAATGTCTTCCAGAGCTATTAAAAGCCAATGTGGCTCGTGAGCAAACTTAGACATGGATCCTTGGAAGTGCCACAAAATTGTCGCCGGATGTGCCTTTCTGAAGGCCGTGATTAACCTATTTCTCACAATTTCTGCCTTCATGCTTTTCCTCTCCTCAGATTAAAGAAGTTCATCTCCCCTCACCTGGGGAGCAGGGGGGAGATGATGGGCCACAGACACCTCACCACCTCGGTCACCCTGCACTGGATTTTCCAGATTTTTCATGGGTACGTCCCAGGAGAGAGGTTGGACATCTACCAGGAGGTATCAACAAGTCAAAGATGGCTGGAACAACTGACAATTCCCAGCTGTGGGGTATTTGCTATTTAAAGCAGATGAATGCTAACAGGGATATTTGGATTCACTGTGTCACTTCACCCACTGAAATAGCAAAGCAGAACATTTACTGATCTGTTCAAAAAGTGTCTCGCCATTACAGGAATGGAAACATCAATAAAATACTTCAGTCGGCAATTCTGATTCCAGTGCCTGATGGTGCAATATCCCAGTCAGAGGAGAACATGGGATTTGTCTTACAGATTCCTGGGAAGAAAAAAAACAAGTTAAGCTCCTGGAAAGATCAAACAGTGTTTCTATCTCAACCCTGATATTTTTTATCAGAACATGCCTAATATTTGGTGCAAATTCTCCTTGGGCGTGCCATTGCTTTTATGACATTTTATTGCTTATAAACAAAATCACGTCATCACTGGTACTTTCTCTGACCCTTTAGTTAAAATGTTACCCCAAGGACAAGCACATCTTTGTGTGCTCAGTGTTTGCTGAGCGCTCTGGGATCCTTGAATTTGTGTGGGGTGGGAGCAGAGGCCCACCCAGGGCTAAAACCAACCCCAACTACACTGCCTGAAATCATTCTGCATTTTTTCCAGGAAAAGTATTGAAATTTTCTCAAAAAAGAGCTTAATTTGAAATTAGTAAATACTTCTGTTCTTCTTTTTCCTAGGTGGGGGCAAGTCAGAAATTCACTGGTATTAAACAAAAAGACAAAAAGGAGGGTGGCTGAGCAGTGGAACGGGCTGCTCAGAGAGACTGCAGATTCTCCATCCTCGGAGACATCCAAAAGTCATCTGGAAATGGTCCTGGACATTCAGGTCCGAGGGAGGTAAGACAGGATGGCCCCCGGTGTCCCTTCCAACCTCAACTGCTTCAGGATTCTCTGAAGAAATGGGCTTCAGGCTTCATATTTTTGTACATTTGAAAGGAAGAAAGTTTTTTTGCTGTTGAAACAACTTGTTTTCCTGCTTGTCTCAAATGCTGTCTGGATTTAGCCCTTCCTGGAAAATTAAATAAATAGATAAATAAATAAAGAGGGGGAGGAGAAAAACAAGGGTTCTTAGTGGATCTTTGTAGGGCCCTGTATGAAATTGCCCACTCAAATACCTTCTGTAAGGCAAGAGCACAAGAGCACCTAAACTGGGGGAAAGGCGGTGGGGAGGGGGAAGGAAATACTAAAGCTCAAGACTGAACTTACCTGGCTATTTTTAATTCTTCTAAATTGGTTTTATTTAACCTCTCATACTACATCTCACACCGGTTTGAGGTTCTGGCATTGATCCTAACAAGTCTCTTCAGGAGTTTTTTGTTGTTTTTTTTTACAAGCCTATTTATTTCCTCTCCCGGATGAGGATACTGGGACCAGTTCATAGTGTTGTTCCCTACAATGTGTGGCATTACAGACTCCTCATCTAAATAGAACACTGGTGTTTTTAATATATTTTATTCAATACTTAATTCATTGATTATATATAATATTAATTTTAGTATCAGGCTCCTGTGTCACAAAGGTCCTCACAAACTCTTGCTCTAAAAATTATGGTTTTGTCCCTTGATAGTTGCAAATCAAAGAGAAGAGAAAAGGTAGTTGAAGTATGACTGTTCTTTCCTAAACAGGATCAATATGTTTATAGATGAAGTTCTGTTGTACCCTGACCTTGAAATGTGCTGCTTGATAACACAATAATCACCTGTTTAGAGTTTCTTTATGTTGACCAGAAAATTTAAATGATCTCATACAAGATTTGCTTCACACTTGTTACTTTACCCAACTTTCAGTCCAAGAAATTATATGAAAATTGAGTTTTTGCACCAATCTACAAAATTCCCAGCTAATAGTGGATTTAAGATGAAAAATGAAAGAACAGCCATGAAATACACATTTTGATGCTGGGCTATAAAAATGGAAGAATCTTCCAAGTACCTGGGGCTTTGTACATAGGGGACTCACAAATTCCCAGCCTGGTCTCGGTACTCTGAATCTGTTTTCCCAGCCTGGTCTCTGTGCTTTAGAACAGGCAGCGACACGAGGTAATTCCCATGCCCAGCCTTTCCAACAAAGGTGGTTTATGAGCACCTCTGTGACTCCAGACAGAGCCTGGGGCTCTGGGTAAGCAGAAAGTTTGCACAGATTCACAGACATCAGCCATAAACCCATGGTTATCCTTGAGCTACTGAGAGGTTGAGGGAGGAACAAACTAGACAAATATACTGCTGATGTCAGGGTTCCTGACAATGCCAGGGGAGGTTGCCTGATGCTCCGGTTTAGGTTCTCCCCTCTCCCCTGGCAAGGGATAGTCAGATGAGATAACAGAGCTAAGCCAGCAGCTCTTTGCTTTAAGCTGTGGTAGCTGAAGGCTTTGTCTTATCTCTGAAATAACGACAGGAAAGACCCGCAGATATTTCCTTGAAATTCATCGTGACTTTCCTTCCCTCACTCCCTTGTGTTCGTGTGCATTGAAGGTGATGCTGGTGGTTGCAAGATTGGAGGAAGGGTGGCAGCTTCTCTGTGCAAGAAGCACTTTTCACACGTTCCTAAATAAATACAGCAAATAAATCCTAAAGCCAGGGGTTACTTCTTAAAGTGAATAAATCTTCTCCTTCAAAGCAGCAATACCCACTTGTTTAACACAGATACCTCTCCACAGCCTGGTACATACCAATGTTGGACTCACTGATCCCTTCCAGCTTGGGATATTCTGTAATTCTGTTTTCCATTATTAACATTAGCAGATCGTCACATCAGCCTGGTGCTCCTGCACAGGATGAAACCCGCAGCGTGTGGCTGGTGGTGGCCCTGGCCGTGCTGGATTAATGGTTGCCCTCCATGATCCCAGAGGGCTTTTCCAGCCTTAACCAACCCCCGATTCTGTGATTCCCACAGGCTGTGCAGGTGGCTGAGCTGATAACCAGCCTGATTAAATCCCCGCTCTGCTCTGAGCCACAGCCTCAGGTACCAGAGAGAGCTGGCGAACGCTGCCCTCAATGTTTGGGCTCTGGAGAGGCTTTCTAAGCCTGCTGCTGTGAAATCAGATCTCCACTCCTGGCTCTTGGCTTCCTTTATTTGTCATCCGTTCTTCATTATCTTTATCCAACCCAGGCCATTCTATGTTTGTTTCTTTTCCTGTGTGCCCCCCACCCCTTTTCCCCCAGGAACACAACCTTCTGCTGTCAAACCAACCCCCCAAAATCACAAATCTCAGTCAGCGGGGACAAAATGAAGGTTTGGGCCCCCCTTTACCCCCCTTTTTCCCTCTGCGGTGCTCTACGCAACAGGCTAAACGAGCCTGCTGTGTCTCAGGATCCAAAGGGGTGGAAGATTTGTGGGAAGGTCTGGATGGAAGGAGGGACTGGAAACACACAACCCAGTGATGTTGTGTGTTGGGGAGGCCAAATTATAGGCACATATTAATGATTAGATACTACTTATTGGGCATTAAATATAAACTATTAAAAAGGCTGCAAGGGATGCTGAGTTTCATTCAGCGTGTTCAAATACAGGCAAAACAGTGGGAAATGAAACAGGGCATTTCCATTCCAGTGTCACACAACTTCTGCAGCACCTGCACCTCTCAGAGGAGTCACAGCCTCCTTGATGGCAGAACTGCTCTGGTAGTGGCACCTGATCCAGGTGCTGCAAGACTGCAGGGACGTCCCCACGAGCTGGCAGCTCCAGTTTGGCTGAGTGGGAGATGAAGTCCAGGAATATTGATTGGTGACAATACGTGATCTTGCCACAGGAATGCACAAACTTCCCAGTTGGACACGTCTTGCGTGGGTTTTTCCACCTTCTCAGAAGCAGCCGGCGCAGGCAGCGTTGGCACAGATCTCACACAGGTCGTCCTCGGCAGCCAGGCCTGTCCGTGAGAAAGAAGGAATTCGGTCAGATGCCAGGAGGGCAGAGCCACCTGTCAAAGCATTTGGAGACTCCTTTGCATTCCTGTTGTTTGAAAGGATAATTTGAAAGATCCTTGTAGGTAATACTGCTCTGAGTAAAATTAGTTCATGCTAAAATCTGGCTGAAGGAATGAAATCAAACCTGAATTCCTTGGGAAGCAATGGGAACATGTGGAAGAGCACAACGTGACATTGAAACGTTTCATCCTAAAGCGTCCCTTGTACTGGACAGTAAATAAATGCAATATAATAACTTTTTAAAGCAAACAGTTTTGCAGCAGCAGCACATGGCAGAAGGACTTTAAACAAGGAGGAATGGCTTAAGCTAGAGAAGGGTAGATTTAGATGAGATACTGGGAGGAAATTCCTCCCCGTGATGGTGGTGAGACCCTGGCGTAGGTTTCCCAGAGAAGCTGAGGCTGCCCTTGGATCCCTAGAAGTGTCCAAGGATGGATGGGGCTTGGAGCACCCTGGGATAGTGGAAGGTGTCCCTGCCCATAGGGGGTGGAATGGGATGAGCTTTAACTAAACCATTCAGTGATTCCATTATTCTACTTGGATGAACTTTTCCATGATCACCACAGTGCAATGTGGCCAACTCAGCTCAGCACTGCAGGAATTTTCCATAGAGGGTTTGGGAAGCCAAACTTTTGCAGGAGAAAAGGCAGCACAAATGCAGCACAAACCCTCTGAGCCACCCTAGAAGTGAAACGGAAGTAATTCTGTCGCTTTGCCTCCTGCTATTGGAAAGCTTAAGGTTGAAAATTGTGGTACAAATGAAAACTACGAAATATGAATGACATACTCAGCCTCCTAAAAACCATCGGTGCATCTTCCCTCTTGCACACAGGCTGGAATTCCTCAGGGAGGTGTTTTTCTTGGCATGGGGAATAGCTGGCCATGGGAACCCTCATGCGAGGGTTGATGTGCCTGCTCCCATCCATGAGCTCCTTCAGCTTCTTCACGGACTCCAGGGGGAATTTCAAGTCTCCATCCTGTGCAGAACCAGAAAAAAAGAGGTGTATGGAAGTCAGGCCTTTAGCAAATCCATTCCATTTCAACCAAGAGCTCTCCCAAAAAATATAACAGAAGGAAAAGATAATGTTGAAAGAAAGCCCAGATAAAACCTGTGCTGAATGAAGGCAGTGGACAGAGGGAGAATTTGGGCCTGGCTCACCCCCATGAGACAGATCCATAAAATATGAGATAGAAAGATCCAGGCTGAGAATCATCAGCCTAGAGAAGAAATGATTGGGCAATATCACAGAATCCTGGAATGGGTTGGGTTGGAAGGGACCTTAAAGCTCTTCTCATTCCACCCCCTGCCATGGGCAGGGACAACTTCCACTAGACCAGGTTGCTCCAAGCTCCATCCGACGCTTCCGGGGATATGTGGCAGAGATCTACAAAATCATGACTTAAATGGGGATAAATGGGAATTTACTTGGTTCACCCTTTCTCCTAGGCACAGCAGTGGAAGTGCCAAGTGTGACCTGGCAAGGTGTGACCACACAGAAGCAGCTCTTCTTTCACACCACACATTGTTGAGGGCTTAAACCCTTCATCTCAGGATATTGTGGAAAGTTTCCATTAATCTAGAATCACAGAATCTCTTGAGTTGGAAGGGACCCACAGGAACCATTGACTCCAGATCCTGGCCCCGCACAGATGCCCAACAATCCCACCCTGTGCCAATTTGAAATTTCCCCACACGATTAATGAAAAACAAGGTTTTGGAAGCAGAAATATGACACTTCAGACTCAAAGCTCTCACCAGAAACTTCAGGAAGCCGGGACAGGACTCTGAGAAATATTACTCTTTATGTTTTAGTTGTTCCTCCCTGTGCGTCGGTTAAGGGTCATTCCCTCAGTTTTCATTCCCCCTTTTTGAGGTCATAAATTTAAGTTCTAGGTGCAGCTGTTTAAACAAGTGCACAAAGCCTGTACCCATCTGCAGATAATCAGAGTGTGGCCTAGAAGACAAATCAGCATTTTCAAACTGGTTTTTATCTCCCGTTTTGACGTGGTTTCATGGACAACATGTAGTCAGTAAAGTAATGTGGGAGGTTCCACCCTGATGGCAGGGTTCGGAATGAGATGAACTTTAATGTCCCTTTCAACGCAAACCATCCTGGGATTCCGGGATCGAGTAACAGCTCCTCATCCAAAGAAATAAAATTCAGTGACTCTGATACAGCACAAGAGCAAATATTTGCATTTGTTTCACAGCCCCAGGAGTCCAATGGGGAATGGTGTGAGATAAACGGGGAGGGGATTTGATTCTGACTTGGAGGGTTTTTTACAGAATCATATTATTGTGGTGTTAAAGGTTTAAAAAAGCCAATCAGATAGACTTGGGATATGCATTTACTTAACTAAGTCAAATTCTTTTCTCTTGCAATCAGTTTATGATCTTACGCAGGTTAATTTATCAGTTGAACTCAATGACCTTAGAGATCTTTTCTGGTCTTAATGATCTATAAAGGTTAATCGGACACCAACACCCGTTGCCCATGGGAATGGTAGAGTCACTCTCCCTGGAAGTGTTCCAAAAACATGTGGATGTGGCACCTGGGAACATGGTGGATCTCTCTGTGCTAGAGGAACAGTTGGATTCAAAGCTCTTAAAGGCCTTTTCTAACCTAAACAGCTTTCTGATTCTGTGATCAGCCCTGGCTATGAAAAAACTACTCTTCCTATAAAAGCAGCTCTAGATTCAGCTGTTGGTCACACAACTGAGAAGCAAAACCCATATAACTGAAAAGAGAGTGGATTTTTATAGGCACAATTTCAGAGAAACCAGAAACTAGGAACAAACCCTGAGATCTGCAGGTCCTGGGGACAAAAAAGAACAAAGGAACAGCAAAATAGACACAAAACCCCGCCACCTCAAGTAAGAAATGTATTAGAGAGAGTTAAATTTGACATATTATGGGAAGGGAAGTCTCGGGGAAAATTTCAGGGAAGAAGAGTGGAAGCCAACTTTGTGCAGTAAAGAATCAAAGAGAATCAGTCAGATCTCAAAGACCTCATGAGAAAGGTCTGCAACACACTCAGAGTTCACTGCAAGTACAGTGGGGAAAACACAGATTTAACAATCAATGAGAGAAGAAATCCAGCTCAAGCTCCAGAGATGCACTTCCTACTCTTTTATGCAACCTGGAAGCAGCCATTCTCATTTATTAACATTTTCTTATGGCTGCAAGTGGAAAACTAGGTTTGTTTTCACTGGGTAAGAAGCTGTTTGCTCCTCTGGAGACTGTAAATGTTGAAGAATCGTTTGAGAGAAAGGAATAGCTTAAACCTGCCACCTCTGGATATCTCTGTCATCCAAAGGATAGAAGAGAGAGTAGTCCAGGACACATAGACAAACCTGCTGTACACACACACACACACACGCACACACACAGAGTCAGTAATTGTTTAATAAGTATTATTTTCCCTGGCCCCCAGAGGAAGTTGTTTACATTGCAATCAGACTGAAATCTCCCACACTGTCCCTCAGGATGAGTGCAGAAAGATCCAAAGCTTTCCCAAGGACAGACCGGGGCCCTGAAGTACCTTCTTAACCCCTTCCACCTTGCATGGAATATCAGCCATAGGTGCTGTGTACTTGGAAAATTTCACAGAGGGTGCTCTAATCTTCTCTGCCTATTAGTATTTAATTTGATCCAACTAAGCTCTTCTTTGCCCTTTTTTCCAGGCTCCATCTCATAAACTCACAGATCATTTCCACAAAGAACTTCCTGCCTAGAACCAGGTAACACAGGACAATTTTTCCTTTGTCACACCATGTTTCCATCGCTCTCTAAAGGCCGCACCTTCACTGCACATGGCTTTAGGTCTAGGAGAAAATTCCGGGCATGAAACACCTCAGTCCCTAAGGGATTTCAGAGCAGAGATATGGCTGCAGAAGGTAAATAAACAGCAGCAGCATTCAGTAATACCTGAAGTGTTTTACAGAAGAAAAACCCAGAGCACAGTGGAAATCAAGGCTGAGCAAAGCAAAAATTCAGGTTTATTAATTTAGTTCAAGGTTCTTGTTGCAGCCAGAAGTTTAAAAAAATATCGGCACTTTGTTGAATTTGTAATACCGACAAATGAAAGATAAAAAACTCACCTGAACATAGACAGCCTGGGAGATGTGCACCAGGACAAGGACTGCCAGGACTGGCCAGGAAAGAAAGCTTTTCATAGTGCCTGCAAAGCCAAGTCTCTCCTGACCTGGGCAGATTTTATTTCCTCTGCTGTCAGGCTTTCTCTGCCTTTTTTGTGTTTCTCAGACTTTCCCTCTTCTCCTGAGCTTTCAGACTGCCCAGCAGTCAGAGCTTTATAAAGACTTCACACGGCTTTAGGTTGGTAATCCATTAATCCAAACTTTTTATTGACGTACCATAAAGCCTGAGGGGGACTCTCAGATATCTCTACTCAGTAGCACAGCTCATCAGTCACACCCAGGCAGATCCTGGGATTTATGAGTTGCTCCCACTTTGAGATGCTGTCCGTGATTCAGGTGGGCAAAACATTCCAAGCTGCAATAAATAAATGGTGGATACTGAGTTCCAGCAGCACCTGAAAGTCCCCATAATTCTGGCCGCTTTCTGCAGAGCTGGGAGTAAAAAAAGAAGTTTGGAAGAAGATATAAAAAAAATCAACCCAGCCAGTGGCCTGTTCTGCGAGTTCCAGGAACTAAGAGTGTAATAATCACAGAATCATGGAATTGTTAAAGTTGGAGAAGCCCTAAGATCATTGAGTCCAATCATCAACCCAGGACCTAAGTGTTCGGTTGATCACCATTAACCTTGTCCCCGTATGCCACATCCACACATTTTTTGAACGTTTCCAGGGATGGTGACTCCACCACTGGCCTAGGCAGCCCCTTTCAGTGTCTGACCACTCTTTCCACAAAGAGATTTTCCCAACATCCAACCTAAAGCTTTCCTGGCACAACTTGAAGCCATTTCCCCCGGTCCTGTCCCTTGTGACCCCAAATCCTGTCAGGGATTTGGAGAGAGATTAGGACCAAGGCAGAGAGCCCCAGGCAGCGCCTACACATGCCCAACTATAAAACGTCATCTCTGCTCTTTGCAGTCCCTAATTAAAATGTTATGTGTTAAAAGGCACAGGGGGCGTCATTAAGGGCAAAGGCTGCTAGGAATCAAATCCATTTCTCCATGACTTCAATGCTTATATGGAAACTCAGGAAAGTCACATGGATGGAGAAGGACCAATGTGCCTCAGGCCAGTTCTCACATCAAGCTCAGGTCCTCAAATCTGTAAATAATTTCTGGAATTTTTTGGGTCTGGATTAACACAGACACTAGGAGAACAAAGTTCCTGATCCCAGCAGAGTAGGAGAGGGCAACAGTCACCCAACTGAGCACCTTCCTCAAATCTCAGCAGTGTTTTATACTCCAAAGGCTCCAATTTTTGCTGTAACCCAAATTATTGTTCTAGTTACAGTGAAAATCATCTTTCTGCTTGGAGCAAAATTCCAGAATCCAAAGCTGCCAAGTCCCCAGTCAGGGCCTTGGAGGGAAGGAATCAGACTTTTCTGATTCAGTATAATCCAAAAATTACTATAGAGTTGAAGCTGAGCTGACAATGCAGAGGTTGAGCTGAAAAGACTTTGCTTCTCTCCTCCCCCCAGCCTCATCCACAAAATTTGAACCCCCGGAAGGATCTTTATTCAAAAAAAACAAGCCTGTTTCCTCTCCTGTAACAACTTCTCTGCTTTCTGCCCTGGCCAGCAGCCAACAGCATTTGCAACCCCACAGCATCTCAGGCCTCTGTCCTTAATTACTTTAATGTGGGCCAAGGGTGGAACAGCAAAGGGCAGAGCAAAAATCTCTTCTGAGAACATTTCCCTTGGAAATTTTTACGAACGTTTTCTTCTCCAAAACCTGGTTTATCCTCAACCCATTAAGCCCTGAGTACAGCTTGGTGGAAACTAAACAACAGATTAAAGAGGTATTGGGGGAACCAGAGAATTGTTAAGATTGAAAATAAACAAGATCATTGAGTCCAACCTTGGACAGACCCCAAAGAGATGGACAGGCAGTTTTGGAGAGGTGTCACAAGAGCACAGAACCATTGACTGCAACTCTGTGTCCCTTGGTTCAATGTCCAGTGAGGCGTGGTGTACCTCAGGGCACTACCTTGGACCAGTGCTCTTTGATACCTTATCAAGGACACAGTGAGGTGGAGCACAACCTTAGCCTGTCGGCAGGTGACTGGAAGCCGAGCAGGATTAGTGATACACCCGAAGGATGGGGCCATCCTGGAGGAACTGGCCACGCTTGTGAAGTGGATCCATGAGAATCTCATGAGGGCCTGCACATGAGTAAGGAAAACCCCCAGTCTCAATCCAGGCTGGGAATGAAGGGCTTGATAGCAAGACTTGGGGTAGAAGAGGGACAAGAGAGGGACAAGCTCACTTCTGGACTGATAATGAAGTTGCCACAACCCACGTTTCCGGACCTTGTATTTGGCTGCCTTGATCTTCCTGAGGGTCCCATGGGCCTACTTCTGGAACTTTTCCAGGTCCCCCTGAATTACATCTTGTCTCCCAGGTGTGTCACCTGCGCTGCTCAGCTCAGGGTCATCTGCCAGCATGCTGAGGGTGCCCTCGACCCCACTGTCTGTGTCACTGATGGAGACATTAAAAAGCACTCATCCCAGTATGGACTCCCAGGGACACCCCTTTGTCTCTGAGCTCCATCTGAGCCCTTCACCGCTACCCTGTTTGTGGCCATCCAACCAACTCTTAATTAGCCAGGCAATCCATCCATGAAATTTGAATTATTACAATTTTAGAGGATGGGTGTTGTGGCTATGCCGTGCCTCTTTGCCCCTCAGTGTCACGGTGCAGGTCCATTCAGGGCCACTACCCCACACCACATTCACGTCCCAATTCCACTTCTCTCTGGGGTTGTGAAGGTCTGCAACTGCTTCACCAAGCTCAGGAGGGACTAGGAATTATTCAGTTGGAGGTACAGGGAGGAGGGCAGAGACCTTCTTCTCACCAGGTCTGCTCCTGGAGGTTCTGTGGTCTCTGAGACACCCGTGTCCTGCAGACCCAGCCCCACCAGCCCAAGACCTGGGAGAAAAACCAGGGCCAGAGGAACCACCCATGTCCCCACCTGCCCCTCCTGCCTGTGGCCGTCCTGGGGCTGGAAGGTGGGTCTGGTTGTCCCAATCCCAGGCTTGTTCCCTGCTGTGCAGAGCCAGTTCCCACGCTGAAGTGAGAGACCTCTATAGCTTCATTCAGGTTGTGCGCAGCAGGACTTGGTTTGCTCCCACGGGTGTTGGCTCACCGTTCAGTGAAGTTTTGCATTATTTATACATTTTAGCGAACAAAGGCCTCAATATTCATTGGCTGCATGCTACAGAGTTCTCTAATTAATATTCTATCTTCTATTGGTTAAATGATTGTCTCTTCTCACACTAATTAGTCCACAGGCTCAGTCTTGTCCATCTTTGGAGTTGGTGCGATTCTGGAGTCAGTGGCTGTGAGTCATTTGTCATGATACCCTCCTGCCAAAATCACCTTTTATTGAGTGAACACCTCGGACTGATGAACTGGCCCTGTTTGTCCCTCCTTAGGCCCAACCTTAACAGCCCTGAGGGCCGTGCAGCCCTCAGAGGGACCTGAACAGGTTGGTGAGATGGGCAGGGAAGAACCTTCTAAAGTTCAACAAGGGAAATGCAGGTACTGCATCAGTGGAGGAACAACCCCAGGCACCAGCACAGGCTGAGGGTGACTTGCTGGAGCAGCTCTGCAGAGAAGGAACTGGGGGTCCACGAGACAGTGAGCCATCCCTGAGTCAGCAGAGTGTCCTGGCGGGACAAGGAGGCTAATGGGATCCAGAAGGTATCAGGAAGAGCATTGCCAGCAGGTTAGGGAGTGCTCCTGCCACTCTGGTCAGCCCTGGGAGGCACATATGGAGTGCTATGTCCAGTTCTGGACTCCTCAGGCGAGGAGGGACATGGAGCTCCTGGAGTAGGACTGGTGGAGGCTGCAGAGATGAGGAAGGGCCTGGAGCATCTCTCTGCCAATGAAAGGCTGAGGGAGCTGGGGCTGTTCAGCCTCGAGAGGAGACGCAGCTGAGACATCCCTGTCTGTCCCTGTCTGCAAGGAGGCCTCAGAGCAGGGACCAAGCTCTGCTCCAGGAGGCCCAGCGATAGGACAAGGGGAATAGGCAGGAACTGATGCCCAGAAAGTTACAGCTTTCTGAACAGGAGACAGAACTTTGCTGTGCAGTGAATTGAGCTCGGAACAGGTGGTTCAGAGAGGGGGTGGAGTCTCCCTCACCAGGGATATTTCAGACCCATCCAGATACAATCCTGTATCATGTGCTCTGGGATGGCCCTGCTAGAGTGGGAAGGTAGGACCAGATGAGCCACTTGGGGTCCCTTCCAACCTCACCAATCCTGGCATTCTGTGGCTGGAGTCGTCCATGTCTACCAGTCCCATTTAGATCACCAAACACTGTTGCCCCGAGCAGGGGCTCAATCCCTCTTGTGGAGCAGCAATTAGTGCACCAAAATGACAGAATTCTAGGTCTTTATTCCTTTTTCCATGGTGCTGTGTGGCTGCCCCCGTGTCAATGGAGTTCTGCTGTTCTCTCTTCACTGACCTCCAGCTGCTTCACCAAGCTCAGGTAGATCAGGAGCTGTTCAGGATTCGGGAGTTACAAGGAGGAGGGCGGAGACCTTCTGCTCACCAGGTCTGCTCCTGGAGGTTCTGTAGTCTCCCAGACACCCCTGCCCTGCAGACCCAGCCCCACCAGCCTAAGACTTGAGAGAGGCCAGACCAGAAAGCAGAGGAGCCCACTCATGTCCCTACCTGCCCCGTCCTGCCTGAGGCTGCCACCTGGCACTGGAAGGCATGTCTGGTTCAGGGACAGCTCCAGGACCCCCCATGCCCACCCAACAGCACAGACAGGGGCTGCTGCCAGGCAGGGGAGGAATGTGATGCCACAGAAAAATACATCCAGTGCTAGGAAATACTTACCGAGGGAATTGTCATCGGACCATTCCCGTAACTTGTTGATCTGCAAGGCCTTCATGCACTGTTCCCGGGCAACTTTGTACGGCTGCCGATTTAGGAGGACCTGTTTTGCTCGTGGAGTCCTGCAAGGCAGGGAAGGATTCCCCTCTCACTCCCTGGCTGGAATCCTGCCTGGCCCAGCTCCTGCTGCTCTTGTCTCCACATTCCCTTTGGCCCCACCACTGCCTTCAGCATGGGCACGTGGGACACCAGAATCAGGGGCTACTCCAGGGCATGCCCATGTCCGGGGATGTCCAAGGTACCATATCCAGCCCAGGCCTCAGAGCTCCGCTTCCATGATCCCAAAGGGGTCCCTCCCACCCGCTCAACCCCCCAGCCCTGACAGGTGCTGCCACACTCTTACCTTGGCTGTGGTCGTCCTCCACAAGGGGATGGTGTCTTCCCCTCCTTTCTCTCTGGGGACAAAGCAGCAGTCACTCCTGCCACAGCAGCCGCTCTCTCCTTCCTGAGCCTTTCAAATCCTCCAGGACAGAAGGCAGCAGCCTTCCCCAGATGCTTCTGCTCTGCCAGGGGTGGAAGCTGTTATATGAAGCAAAGGGAAGGCAGCTCAGACATTTTGGCAACAGTAAGGGTCCCATCTTGCAGCCCATGATCCAAAGGACAGTTTGAATCCCTCCTCTCTTCCCCGGAGATCCTGGCAGTGTCCCTCTGTTTCATGATGAAGTCTGGACACCACAGAGGTGATGAAGTCGTTCCCAGGACTGAATGGAACCCAAAAGACATCCCGGAATAGACACATTCAAAGGGAATCTTCCAACAGCCTCCCTGCGGTGATGCAGGACATGATCCTACATCCATATCACCTGGACATGTTTTTGCTGCCTGGTGGGAGCTGCCAGCCCAGCTTTGGGTGCTTCCATCCCCTTGGTGGCTCTGCCCTTCTTCACAGAGTTCTCAATTGGAGGCAGCAAACTGCAGAAACACCACACAAGCGTTTTGTCTGAGAACAGTGAGAGCACCTTCTCCAATGTGTTTTCCAGGCCTCTTCAAAACGCTGCTGTCCACTTCCCATGCCACAGGAAGGGCCGAGGCCTTGGGCATGTGCCCAGATCTGCTCTCCATAAGTACAGGCAGCATGGCCAAAGGTGACAGCTCACATCCTGTCCAGGAGTACAGAATTACCTAAAGGCAGCTCTTCCAGACTCTCACCTCCCTCTCTGCACTCCACCATCACCCTTTTTCTTTTCTCTTCCCATTGCTTTCACATCATAAATCTGACTTGGAGAAAGACGTGGACGAAGAAAGAGGCGTTGGCTGGGAAGGTTCCCTGATGAAAAAAAAGAGGAAGCTCCTCTCAACTGCATCTCCAGAACACTTTGGACATGAGGGATCTCCCAGACTTCCTGTCCCAGCCTAGTCCCCTTCCCTGAGGGTTGTGCTGCTCCATAGTCCCGTCTCACTGCTTCCTTGGGTCCCCATTCAGAAGAAGAGGGACCTGATGGGACACTTTTCTGGCAGGAGACAGAATTCCCTTTGGCATGAAAGACGTCAGTTCCTAGAAGGAGACATACCCGGAGTTGTTTGGCGCTTGGTGCTGGTTTTGCTTGTGGTTCCAGGGCCTTGTAGGGAAGCACTTATAGGATGTGGCTGGGACTTCCCATCTGCCTGCACAAAGCTGCAAAGAAGGTGGTGACACCAGTTTGAATAAGGGCAGCAGAGTCCATGGCAGCCTCTGGGAAGAAGCTGTTCCCAGGCATCCAGTTTTCCAAAGGAAACATTAACACTGGAGCATGGACACAAGAGTCTCTGTCCATAGGGCTCCTCTCAGCCAGGTCTGGGATCCCACTTGCCAGAGATGCTTTCCAGGGAAAACAAAGCTGTGGTGACTGAGAACATCCCAGGCTCTGGGGCCTGTTTGTTCTCAGTCCTTCTCAAAGGGAAAAAGAAGAAGCTGGTGAAGCTGTCTGCCTCATGGCCCCCAACTGTGTCTCCGGGGTCATTCCCACAGAGGTGGGAAGGTAAAGCAAGCCCTCTTCCCAGGGAATCCACCTGAAGACACTCCCCAAAGGAGCCAGAATGTCCATGGACCTTGCACAAATTCAATTCCACTTCCAAAACTAAACACATCCAAGGATTCCTCCCACACAGGAGAAGCCAGGACCAAAAGCTGTTGCTGGTTATCACCCCGCCATGTACAGAAACAATTGCACTCACTGTGGCAGCACAAAAACACCTCCAGGAGGGATCTGGGAAATGTCCTTTTCCATGTGGCCTATGAATAATGGCTTCAGATTTGGTGACTGCAACAGGGACAGAGACATGGCAGGACCCACAGGGAATTTACCTGCTGTTCACAACACACGAAACCCCTCTTCCACTCCCAGCCCCAGCTGCCCCTCCTCAACCCCCACCCCCAGCTCTCTCTCCACGACCCTGTGCCACTACATCGTCCCAAATCCTTGAGCATCTCCACCACCTCGGCACTCTGGGACAACAAGGCCACGCCAGCAGCCTCTCCACAGGAGCCAAAGCCTAGGGCTAATTCCCTCCTGGGAACAGGAGGGCAGGCTCAGTTACCAGAATCATTGAAAGCTTCCCAAGGCCACGGCTGCGTCCCCAAGAGTTTGAGGGCACGTGAAATACATGCCAGATTCACCTGGAGCAAACCTTCTGCCAGGCACTGTGACTGAGCCACCTCCCGGACCAAGTCTTCAAAGAACCTCATGACCACGTGGTTTCCCCGGCAGACCAGGATGCCAATGTCCTTGAACACAAAGTCGAAGTTCTGGCCACTGGACAAGGCCCACTCACAGATCTTTAGTGTGGCCTTGATGCACGTCACGATGGTGGCCTTGGGTTTGTGCAGGCGCAAGGCCACCTCAGCACAGATTAACTCGTCTGCTTTGGAGAGACCTGTTGAAAAAACATGCAACACAAAGTCACTCACTACGCCCTTCTGTGGCCCCTTGGGGGCCCACTAACCCCCTCCCACCACAGTGACTCTTCACCCAGCAGCAAATGTCGTGCTTTTGTGCCATGAGCCCCAGTCCCTGCACTGCCAGCTCAACCACCGTGTTCCAGCTTCGCAGAACCTCTCAGGTGGCTGTGGGAGCCAGCAGGAATCTTCCCAAAGCGGTGGGGATCATCAGCCTCTTCAGTGCCGGGAGAGTCTCAGAAATACCTCCAAGAGCTCTCCAGCAGCAACCAGCACACTGTGGGCACCCAGAGAGCCCTGGAGGGGTTGCTGGAGGGACCCATCCTTGTCCAGGCGGAGCGCAGGGCTGAAGGGCTCATCTTACCAGGCACAGGGCTTTTCCCATGGAGGAGCTTCTTCCCCACCAGAAAGGGCTTGCTCAGATTGAACTCTGGACTGTCGGCCATGAAACCTTCCCCTTCTCCATGCCAGATAGGCCTTTTCATAATGTGGATGGTACCCAGGCCCATCAGTCCAACTCTCTGGAAGCAAAAGCAGGCAATCAGAGGGCAAACAGAAGGGAAGGCTAAGGGTGATCTGTGGCCTTTCCATCCCTGCAGCTCCAAGGCCTGAGATGGAGCCCCCAAGGAAAGCTTTGGAGAAGTGCCAAATCCTGCAGATCCTGGAGAGGAGGGAGTGAGGAACCATCTGGAGTGAAAGATATATGGGAGAAACTCCCGGAGCCTGGGAAGGCCCAAGGAGTGCAGGAGCACTGCCTGGGCCTCCCTCCTTTCCATCCATCCTGGGGAAGACTCCAAAGAGGAAATCCGATGTTCTTCTACTCAAGCGGCGCTTGACTTCTTGCCTGCACCCACAATGGGTCTCTGGCTAAAATGCAGAATCTGCCTGGGATGTTTCTGCCCTCTAGGCTAGGTGAGGGCCAGGCAGGATGGGGAAGGATCAGGAAACCCCTATGGTCTGAGGAAAGACCATGAGGAAACCAGCCCCACCTTCTTCAGCACCAGGTCTTGGCGATAGCACTCAGACACACAGTCCCAAACTTTAATGATTTCTGTTAGAAGAAGAGAAAGGGCCATGCTGAAGTTACAAAGTTTATCATCCCCTCCTCACCTTCCTAATGTCAGATCCCCTTCTCCAAAGGGACCCTTTCCCTGGGCAAAGCCACCAACACATTCCCACCCCCAGGGGCAGGAGGATGCCAGGACCTCGGGGATCTCAAGGCTTTACCATCCTTCTGGAAGTACACAAGATCCGGAGACAGTGCGAGGAGGAAGCCAGGGAAAAGCTCGGTCATGGCTGCAGCTCCTCGTGCCTGATTTCTTCCTCTCCTGGCCTGGTGGTATGGTGGGGCACCACAGCTGGGCTGGTCACTGGCTCTCAGGGAAGTGGGTGTTATGGTTCCATGGAGGCAGAACATCCCATTGTGACCTCACATGTGTCACCAAGGGGCTGCAGAGCCCCACACAGACATCCCCCTGGCCCCAGGCTTCACTCTACAGGGGAAGGAGGCTGCACTCGTCATTTCAAGGGGCTGCCCCCACCCAGCCACTGCCCATTCTGATGGGTCTCCCACAGCCGCTGCTGAAGCACACAGGAAAATTGGATGGAAATTGATTTAGAATTATTTACACGGATACTGGGAACTGCTGTGTTACAAGTTAGAAATTTGGCTGAAAACAAACCCAGCTGGTTCTGAGGGATCAGAGGGCCTGGGGACAGCAGGGCTGAATTCCTGATAGGCAGGTCTGGTAACATCCAGTAGGATCACATCACAAACACAAATTCACCAACAGTGCAGTTTATTGGAGCAGCAGGTTACGGACTCTTGTTAGACTAAAAGTGATAAATGCACTGGACCCATAAAAGCTGCACAAGACGAACGCTCCTAGGAATTCTGGAGGCACAAATCTTTGCTAAGGGGTCTCCATGCTTTGGGGAGGAGGGAGGAGCATCCAATTTATCTGGACATGAGTGGCATCGAGAGTCGTAACGAGAGAGATGACAAAGGCTCTGGGTCTTGGCAAGGGCAGAAAACAATGTGACACCTGAGCAGCCCTCCCTCTTAGACCTGCCAGATTCCAAGGGTAGGGATTATCTGGCCTCTGCCTGGTAACCCATCACTCCCTCAGCAGGTGATCACACCCAGGTACTCCCATCACCACGTATCCAAAGGAAATCCCTTATCTCAGACTGTGGGCCTCATTCCTACACAGGCACAGAGCTGCAGCACAGGAGACCTCCACGGCACTGGTGTTTGCAGGATCAGGAGGTGACTGGCTTCAGTCATCAGTAAATTTCTGTCCTGACCAGAATCCAAGTTAGCCAAAACCTTTGGAAATTGTTTACAAAACTCCAGCAACAATGGTGCTGCTCCACTCAGGCTCTGACTCAGGTTGGGACTGTTCCGAGGCTGTCAGGGAATGACTAGTTATCCTCTCCCCAGTGCTCAGATATCCCATTCACCTCTGCACAAAGCAAAGGGAATGTGCTGAGAGAATGGAAAAAGGGGAATGACAGTGTGTGGGCATGGATTGTGGGCACAGGGTAAAACGGGAACTTCTCCAAGTTTTATCTATGAAATTTATAGATTTGGACTGGACAGACAATTAGGGTTGAAGGAAGACGCTCTTCACCCCACCCCTCTACCACTGTACTGAGTTTATCTACAAATTCCAGCCTCCAGTGGATCTGGGATCACACACGCATTTACAGGCGAGCAAGTAAAACAAAAAATAAAAATCTCTGGAATCATTTAGTTGGAATATATCCCAGAAATTGTGGGGTCGGTCCACTTGGCAATTCTATTTGCAAGCTCATGGTCCCATGGCCCCAGGAGCCCAAATCCTGCAGTTCAGGTAAGGCTGCACCAACATTCCCAGCTCAGAAGTTCTCGGAGCCAAGGCTCCGACTCTCGTCCTGCAGCGGTGAGGTCACGGGGACCGTGGTATCGCCAGGAGAGGCCACATTCAGGTACCCGATATCCGAAGGCTGCGAGGGGGACGGGCAGAAGGAAGAATCCTGGCTCTCAGCCTCTCCTTCAGGCTTCATGTTCTGCGGGGACTTCAGGGCACCGAGGGGCTCTGGGAGATCTCGGGGTGGGAAGCTGGAAACAGATTTCCATTTTCTGTCATTCTGTGGAGTCTGGGTGACCCTTACCCAACACCTCTGAGCAGCACAGGACGATGTTGATGCTTTTCTCTTGGATCAAGGCTCCTTGTCTATCCAAGGAAGGGACACCCTCAGCCAGCCCAGAACCTGCACAGACCATCCTTCACCCCAACTGTGCCTGGGGCTATGACCAAACCCCCTGAGCTGCATCTCCAGAGCTGCCTTCCCCTCATCTGGCTTGGCACGGATTGGAATGGAGGAACACATCCCAGAGTGATGTGGGACACAGCTCTGGCCGTACTAGGACTTCAAGTCTCACTACCTCTTGTATAAAGACTCTTCCAAAGCCACTGAGCACCAAGATTCCTAAATCCCATCGTGTTCCCGAAAACATTCCAAAAAGTTGACTTCTCCATCCCATCAGCTGACTGATTTTAATACCATTTTAATGCCATTTTAATACCATTTTCCCTAAAATTTGACCAAAAACTAACAAAAAAGGCCTCTGGGAAGTGAAAGCACAAGGTGAGGCAGCCAAAATGCTCAAGTGGCTCCTCCCTGGCTCCCCCTCCCCACCACGGTACCTGGCACGAGGAGGCAGCAACACCTTACTCTGTGGCTGGCATTCAGAGCCAGGAACAATCTTCGAATCCTGGGAGGAGGAACAGAGACTTTGAAAAGAGGAGGTACACATCAGACCCTGAATTCCAACAATTCCTGATCTTCCAGGCTCTCCCCCAGCTTCCCTGAGAGTCCTCTCCACCAACTGCAGCCCCACAGAGGTGCTAATCAGGGATTTAGTTGTCCTTTGGGTGTAAATTTATGCTACAAGTCCAAACCAAGCCTCACCAAGGCCAGGTGGGCCCCCAACAGCCCTTTCCCCCTCAACAGCTGATTTCCAACCTACCTGGGTTCTTTCCAAATTACAACTCCCAATGAACTCCTAAATCCACCTGGTTGATTTGAAAACTCTTTGATTTCCTGGATTTTCTCAATTTTTCCTGCCAAAGTTCTTCATTAACATGGTCAATACTTTCACTCAACTCAGGAATTATTGCTCAGCTTGGCCTGAGGGAGGAATATTCCCGCTGGCGGGGGGAATACTCCCAATCTCACATGAAGGGTTGGTTCTCCTTTCCTAGAGCCAACTTTACAAATGAAGCCTTTGAACAGCTCTAAATGTGCCAAGTGAGATTCCCGCTCCTGTGGAAGGGGATCCCGTGGGCAGCAGCTCAGAGATGAGCAGGGGCTGAGTGTATGGAACCTTCAGCTTCTCACAAAGCCTCTCCTCCCCACAGCTGTTGCCACCTACCATATGGGAGGCCTTTCCATCCCAAAGGATGGATCCAGCACTTCCTCAGACCCTCAGGCATCAGGTTCTATGATTCCTGCTGATCCCAGCCCTCCCAGAGTCTCACCTCTGTTTTGGGGGTGGGGCTGCTCCTGGCAAGGCACTGGGATGTGGCCACATGGCTGGAGAGTTGGAGCTTGTCCTGCAGCCGGGCATTCGTCTCCTCCAGGATCTTTCCTCTGGGCATGGCACAAAGCACAAGTTATTTTCCTTCCAGCCATGCTCCATTTTCAAACAGGAATTTTCTTTTCCAACCTCAGAGCTGTTGCTCTCCACAGCCTCCGGCTCAATGGAGAGGTCTTGGATGGGAAAACAGAGTAATTACAATGCTAATTACAGCCATAAAAGCTACTGCATCAATGGCTTGGGGCACAGTCCAGACTTTCCTCTGGAATTCTTAAGAGAAAGAGGCACAAAACCAGGAAAAGGGAGAATCCCAGTGGATGGACATCAGCAGGGGCCTACCTGCTCTGCAGGGAAGGAATCCCAGACCAGAGGCTCCAAGGGGACTCCTCCTGGTCTGATATTTTTTGGAGGAGCCGTCGCCTCTCCTGGAGTAATTTCTCATTCTCAGCAGTGATCTGGGAAATCAGCACCTTTCCCTTAGGGTGGTGGAGAAAGAAAGAACAACCACCAGTTACTCTTGATTCTTTTCTGTCCTCTGCAAACCTCAGGGCTTTTCAAAGGGACTGCCATTGAGGGTGCCAGCTCCTAAAACCTTGGACTCACTACCCCTGCAAGTGCTCAAGAACCTTCAATGTGGATGTGGCATTTAGGGACACGGTTTAGTCGTGGTGTGTGGATGGCTGAACTTGATGAAGATCTTCACCTTAAAGGTCTTCAACCTCAATGACTCTGCAATTTCATACCCTGTCAATGTAAAATAACCCAGGAAGAGGCTCTGGGGTCATTTTCCAGCAGGAATTGCTGAGGCAAAGGAACATGGAGCTCAGCCAGTGTCTGACTGGGATTTGAGGATGTGGCTTCCCCCCAGGGCAATCCTGAGCCAGGAATTTCTTTTTGGCTTTTTGTTGCTAGAGGTTGGTGCCCCTGGTCCCTTCCTGCAAGGAGTGATTTTGGACAAGGAACTGGAGTGACAGGACAAGGGGGAATGGCTTCCCACTGCCAGGGGGCAGCGTTAGATGGGATACTGGGAAGAACTGTTCCCTGTTACAGTGGTGAGTCCCTGGCTGTGGCTGCCCAATCCCTGGCAGTGTTCAAGGCCAGGCTGGATGGGGCTTGGAGCAACCTGGGATAGTGGAAGATGTCCCTGCCCATGGTAGGTGGTGGGACAAGAAGAGCTTTAATATCCCTTTCAATTCACACCATTCCCTGAATCCACGATTATTTTCACAGAATCACTAGGTTGGAAGAGACCTTCAAGGTCATTGAGTCTAACCCATGCCCTAAAACCTCATAAAACCATAGCACCAAGTGGCACATCCAGTGTTTTTTTAAACACATCAGGGAAGGTGACTCTGCCACCTCCCTGGGCAGACAATTCCAGTACTTTACCACTCTTTCAATAAAAAACTTTTTCCTTATACCCAACCTGCATTTCCCTTGGTGCAGCTTAAGACTGTGTCCTCTCCTTCTGTCAGTTGCTGCCTGGAGAAAGAGACCAACCTCGACCTAACTACAACCACCTTGCAGGGAATTGTAGAGAGTTATAAGGTCATTTCTGAGTCTCCTTTCCTCCAGGCTAAACAACCCCAGCTCCCTCAGAAGTTCCTCACAGAGCTTGTGTTCCAAGCCTTTCACCAGCCTTGCTGCCCTCCTTTAGATGTGTTTGAGAGTCTCAACATCCTTCCTAAACTGAGGGGCCCAGAACTGGACATAGCACTCGAGATGCAGCCTCACCAGTGCCAAGTAGAGGGGAAGAATGACCTCCCTGCTCCTGCCGGCCACACTATTCTTGATACTGGCTAGGATGCTGTTGGTCTTCTTGGCCG